AGGCACCCGAACCCGGCGCCAGCTGCCATCCGGCCGTCACCCAAGGGTGCTCGGGAGGCAATCCCTCCCCGTAGTGACAGAACTGAGGTTCTCGTGGTCACAACAGACCGTTCAGAAGGGCTGTTAAAAGCCGTATCGTGCTGCGAAGTCGTTCCTTAATACATTCTGAAAATCATAGCTATGATACACCAGCTATTTTCACATAGCCTTTATTCAACTGTCCTTAAAGGGAAAACGTGGCCAAAAGTAGAACCGACAGCACGCCTAACGCGGCCTAACCATTCCCTCCGACAGCAGGGAATAAAGCAAGAGAAGCGACTGGGCAAAGTCGGTGCAGACATTACACCCTACCCCGGCAATTGGTTCACTCCCTGGAGCAGACGAGACAATGAGGCTGTGTGTGCTCTGCTCTCGCTGGCAGGGCCACAAGGTTTCGTCTCAAATGCACTGTCATCATCACCGCGAGTTTAACCAATATACTGGAAACTAATGCTCAGAAGAACACAATCTGGCAAACACTTCGCAGGCATTAATTAGTAAAATGGGAGCACGGGCGTGTAAACCTATCAAAACTTATGCTCGTACCACAGCACTTCATAAAAGATTTGCTTTGCGTCTCTGTTAACCACCTCAAACAGCATTCCCAAACTGCTGTTGTTCAGACCTGCACAGGTACAGAGTGTCGCTCTCGAAATTCAGACCTGGAGAAACCGCCAAAAGCCAGGACTCGGCTCAGATCCGGCACCTCACCCATTACTCTGCCTCTTACCCACTGCTCAAAATGAAATCAACAACAGCAGTCGGGAGCCCTACGCTATACCTGGGTCTCTCCGGGAAGTTTCACTGCAGCACAGTCCCCAGGCTCGGCCGCGACCTGCGCGGAGCACAACCCGCACCCCGCGTGCCCCCAGCTCCAGGACAGGCCACCGCCTGCGGCTCGCTTGGCTGATTTTATTTTGCATTTGCTTCCTTTCCACTCGCACAAAGAAAGCCCCGTTTGGGCCCAAGTCCGAAACCTCCGTCCTCCCCGAGCTCCGCCACGCAACCCCCTCCCCAGAGGCGAACCCACGTGGCGCCGGGACGCGCCGTCTCCGCCGGTTTTCCTGCCGGGAGCGGCTG